CATCGACATCTGGCATTTGGCATGTGTCCTCACACAGGAAACAGCTCAGGAGGTGCTGAGACCGCTGGCTACCCTCGGGGACAGATCTGGAGCAACGGAGAGAACCATGACCTTATTCTCTTCTCTATTTGAATAGTTACAATAACACATACCACCTCTGTGATTTTCAGAGGCAATAAAACCTTAAGGAAAATGTAAGAGAAGAAAAAGACAATGAAAATTTGAAGAAAAACTGGTCGAAACACAATTTTAAAACATAGTGATTTTTCTATAGCGGGAGGAATGAATTTCATCAAAGTCTTCTGCTGTTATTTCAAAGCTGGCCCCCGCCAGGCTGACCAGGACGCAATTGGGGGTGAGCAACTGCTTCTGCATCAAGGTGACTAAGACCTGGAAGGACCAAGACCACAGGATGGACAGACCGGGGGACACAGCAATTGACACCTCAAGATGCCTCTGCCATTAGTAACACATTTGAAAACTTTACATTTTGCGAAGCTTTCAAATCTAGAGAAAATAGTACAAAGTAAAAGAACAACGGTACAGTGAATGCCCGGATACCTTTATCTGGATTCACCAACTGTTCACATTTCCACACATCTGCTTTATCTACCATAAAGATACATTGCTCAACAGATGTGTCTATTTTTATGAATCATTTGAAAGTTGCAGGCACCATGACATCTTACCCTAAGTACTGTGACTTTGATCTCTCAAGACCAAGGACGTTATAAAATCACAAAATAGTCAGCCCTCTGTGTCTGTGGGCTCCACACCCATAAATTCAACCAACTGGGGATCAAAAACATTTTTTAAACATTGTATCTGTACTGAACACATACTGACTTTTTCCCTGCCGTTCTTCCCTGAACAAGACAGTACACAACTCTGCATGGCTTGGAGACTGTATCAGGTACAATAAATCCTCTAGAGATGATTTAAAGCACACAAGCCAAGGAGCATAGATAAATGCAAGTGCAACACCATTTTCTATGTGAGCATCCTCAGGCCTTGGTTTCTGAGCAGATCCCAGAACTAATCCCCAGTGAATACCGAAGGATAACTGCACAATTTTCAAAATCAAAAATTTTGTCACTGATATATTTGTCACCTCTTAGGTGTTACGATAACGTCCTATAAAGAACAATGACTATTGTCCTTGGTCCGGGCCTCAGAGCACTTATTCAAGAGCACATAGGGTCAGCAGGTCTCTGTGGGAAGTGCTCTGAATCACCACCCTCCCCATGGTAACTATGTGTAAATGGACAACTTAAAGATGAACAAGAAGGGCCACCACTGTCAGGTAAAGAATAGTATTTGACACAACACAGGAGCATGGCTGAAAGGGGTCCTAGGTGCAGGGACAACAGAGTAGGGCTCCTCGGCTGATGTCAGGCCTCATCTTTGGCACCATGTTGAGGAAATCAGAAGCCACCCACCCTCAGACCTCACAGCCCCCTGTCCTTGGCAGCTGGACCAGAGCAGGCCATAGTGCAGAAGACCTAAGGAACCGGGCTCACATCTCTCAACCTCTGGGATCACTGTGGAGAGGTCATACTGGGCCTCCATTTCCCCATCTGCAAAGCCACCAGCTCTTCTCTAAAGCCCTTGGAGCAGCTAAACATGCTCTGAGTTCACTGAAGGCTTCCTTCTACCTCTTCTCCTTGTCTCCCAACACCTCTGAATTAGACCATGACCCCCAGCTCCCAGGCAGCTCCCGTGCGTCAAGGACCAGCTCCTTCCATGGCCCGAATCTGCTGTGCTCCTGGCCACTTGCTCGTCCTCTGCCCTTCCCATGTGGCTTCTACCTGCCTTCTTGACCATGGCCACCTGAGCCACACAGAGTTCTGACCCAGTGTCCCTGCATGTTAGCAGTTATCACTGCTGTTCTGAGACTCCGAAGATGGTAAAACATATTCACAAACTACCCTTGCCTCCCCTACTGCCCTGAAAGTAAAAACCAAACTCCCCATCTGGCCCCCACCTCCGGCTATACTACCACCCTCTCACACTCTCCTCACCTGCCCAGCCAACTAAGGCCAGGGGCAGCAACACCAACATGGCATACTCCAGGGGACTGCTGAGGCCACAGAGCCTCAGACAGATTAAAGAACTTCCCCAAAGTCATAGCTCCTGTGTGATAGAAACAGGGCACAAATAAATGAGCAGCAAAATAGGCTCCCTTTGTGCTCCATAAGAAACTAAAATATTTGTCAACATCAACCATGTCTTCACCCATGTTGCCTCTGGACAGAGTCTGAACAGCACCAAAATCAAATGGTAGAGAATGGGGGGGGACACAGCTGGATGCCCTTCTTTTTCCTTTTGCAATACTTTCATTAATTCTGCACACAGTTTTAAATGTTCACAGTAGCAATCAGGAGTAGAATTTAGATCCCAGGTAATAAAGTAGTAATAGTAATAGTAGTAATAGTAGTAATAGTAGTAATAGTAATAAAGTAGTAGTAATAGTAATAAAGTTCCCTAGCACCTCATTCATAGCTGATACACTATGTGTAGGTGATCTCAGCTGAAGACTCACCCCAGCCTGGCTGCCCCAGGGCTCTGCTCAGCTGTGCCCAAGTGGGAGGATGCTGTCCTTGAACACTCCCACACTCGCAGCATGCCTACCACTCCTTGGCCCTCTCTGCATCTGAAAAAGACTTAAGAGTCAGAGCTTAGAATCTTCTTTCCAATTAAAGTAACAGATGCCTGAGGTCTCCCTTGAAAGACAATGAAAACATACCTACTCACTTATCATCCTGACCTACCAAGGCCCTTGTCCTCTCTGGGCCCCAGTTTCCTCCTCTGTATAACAGAGATAGTTCTGTCTTTGTCCCAAGGGCTATAACTGAAATTTCTCCTAGCAGATGAGATGTCCTACTCAGTGGAGCAGTGCGAAAGTTCTCAGAATAAAATGGAGTCATTTATGTCAAACCCTAATAAAATGCAATCAAGAAGCCACAAAGGGAAAGT